ATAGCTTTGATTTCTTCTTCTGAACACTGCCTATTGATATCCTTCGACCCCTTATCAATTGGGGAATGGCTCTTATTTTCATAAATTTGGGTCAGTTCCCTATCAGGTCTTTATCAGAGAAACTTGTTTTTCATAGTTTTTTTTTTAAGTATTCATCATATTTGGTACCTGTTATCAAAATGTAGTTTCCCTAAAATATCTCTTTTAATTAGGCTCTTTTTTTTTTGCTTTTACTTTGTCTGAGATCATGATTGCTATCCTTACTTTTTTTTTTTTACTTCAGCTAAAGCATAATAGATTCTGCTCCAGCTCCTTATTTCAATTCTGTATAAGTCTTTCTGTTTCAAGTATGTCTGTTGTAAACAACATATTGTTAGATTCTGGTTTCTAATCCATTCACCTATCCTCTTCTGTTTTATGAGTGAGTTCATCCCATTCACATTGAGTTATGATTATTAACTCTGTATTTCCTTCCATCTTATTTTCTTCTGTTTATCCTTTTCTCTCTCTCTTTTCATCCTGTTCCTCCTCAAGAGTCTGTTTTGCTCCTGCCTGCTATCTTCTTTAGTCTGCCCTCCCTTTTATCACCTTCCCCTCTACCTCCTCTTATCTTATTCTTCCCCCCTACTTCCCTGTTGGGTAAGTTAGATTTCTATATCCAGCTGAGTGTGTATGTATATTCTTCCTTCTTTGAATCAGTTCTAATGAAGAGTGAGGCACAAGCATTACCCACCACTCCCTCCCCCATTTTCTCCTCCACTATAAAAGCTCTTTCTTGAGTGCCTCTTTTTTTTTCATGATTTTCTTGCATCACTCTTATTTATCTTCCCAGTTTTTCCTCTACTTCTCTTACTTGCTTCTCAAAATCCTTTTTGAGCTCTTCCATGGCCTGGGACCAATTCATATTTTTCTTGGAGGCTTTGGATGTAGGAGATTTGACTTTATTGTCTTCCTCTGGTTGTATGTTTTCATCTTCTTAGTCACCAGAGAAAGATTCTATGGTCTGACTTTTTTTTTTCACTATTTGCTCATGATCCTAGCCAATTACTTGACTTTTTAACTCTTTGTTAAGGTAGAGCTCTGCTTCCAGTGTGGCTGGCGTACTACCCCAAGCTTCAGGGATTTTGTATGGCTGTTTTCAGAGATATTTCTAGGGGCCTGTAAGTTTTCAGTTCTTCCAAGGTGGTATGATCTAAGCAGAAGTGTTTGGTTTTTGCCTGTGTGCCCATGCTGAATTGCGTTCCTCTCCCAGCCTGGTGCAATAGACCTTTCCAATCAATTATCCAGGTTGCCTTGGGCTGGAAATTTGTTTCACTCTGTCTTTTTGTGGGTTCTGCTGCTCTAGAATTTGTTTAGAGCCATTTTTTACAGGTATTTGGAGAAGTTTGGGGGACAGCTCAAGCAAGTCAATGCTTTTACTCTGCCATCTTGGCTCCACCGCCCTGCCCCACCCCATGCCTCTTTTTTTTTTTGTGAGATAATTTCCCCCATTTTTCTTTTCCCTTCCCTCTACTCCCAGTGAATCTCTCATTCTCACCTCCTCATTTTTTACTAACAACCTCTTAATTGGCAAATATCAGTCCTCTTCCTTCTTGACCTCTCTGTAGTTTTTGACACTGTCAGATCATCCTCTTCTATTTTATATTCTCTTCTCTAGATTTTTTTTTTATGATACTACTTTCTTTTGATTCTCTTCCTCCCTATCTGACCTCTTCTTCTCAATGTTCTTTCCTAGATCTTCATCCAAGTCATCCTTGCTAACTGAAAGTGTCCCACAAGGCTTTGTTCTGGGCCATCTTCTCTTCTCTATATATATTATAATTCTTGTGATTTCATTAACTCCCATGGATTCAATTATCATCTCTGTGCTGATGATTCTTATATCTACTTATCCTGACCAATCCTCTCTGTTGACTTCTAGTCTCACATTTCCAATGACCTCTACTGAATGTTCCGAGGACATCCTAAACTCTAAAACTGAACTCATTCACTCCATCCACCCCAAACCTTCTCTTTTTCCTAACTTCC